CTCTGACCGGATGGTGGGGAAGGGAAAGATTTATACTCCTTGCAGACAGCAGTTCATTTGCATCCTTTGAGAGAGTCCTTGAGGCCACCTGGAGGCTTGTCTGTGTCCTCAGGATCACCTGAGTGGTGCAAATGGTTCCTGTAGTCTGCAATTTTCCCCTCTGGAAATCCATTCCTCCTCCCACGCCATTCAGAGGGTGCTCATCCCAAATTGCAAAAGTCTGTAGAGATTCTCAGTCCTCCAGATCACGCTTGTCCCAACGGTGGTTTTTTCAGGAGGCAACTGGACTTCCTTGTTTTTTCTTTTGGAGACATTTCGCTTCTCATCCAAGAAGCTGCTTCTACAGACTTGTAATTATACAATTTGGGAGTAGGAATCTATTTCCAGAGGAAAAAATGGCAGACTTCAGGAACCATTTGCACCACTTAGGTGACCCTGAGGACACACAGAGAAACCTCCAAGAGCTTCAACTGCTTCTCTCAAAGGATGCAAATGAGCAGTTGTCTGCAAGGAATATAAATCTTTCCATTCCCCACCATCCGGTCAGAGCTGAAGAAGCTTCTTGGATGAGAAGCGAAATGTCTTCAAGGAAAAACCAGAAAGTCCAGTGGCCTCTTGCAAAAAAGCACCTTTGGGGCAACCATGATGTGGATGACTGAGAATCTCTACAGATTTTTAGCTATGCAATTTGGGATGAAGACCCTCTGAATGGTGTGGGAGTAGGAAGGGATTTCCAGAGGAAAATAAATTGCAAACTACAGGAACCATTTGCACTCCTCAGGTGACCCTGAGGACACAGAGAAACCTGCAAGTGCTTCAACACCCTCTAAAAGGATGCAAAGGACCAGCTGTCTGCAAGGAGTATAAATCCTTCCCTTCCCCCACTATCCAGCCAGAGCTGAAGAAGCTTCTTGGATGAGAAGCGAAACATCTTCAAAAGTAAAAAAACAAAAGAAAAAACAACAGAAGTCCAGTTGCCCCCTGAAAAAGCACCTTAGGAACACTGTAAGCCTATATTAAAATTTGCTTTGTTGTGTTTACCTTCGTAGAAGGTAATGGTTTCTTATCAACTTCTGATTACTAGGATTGCATTGAAACAAACTTTTTCTCCAGGGGTACCAAATTGTGCATGGGCCTGCATCGGACTCAAATGTCTGAAAAGTGTTGAAGATGACAATTCTGTCACAGAAATGGGGACGACGTAGGTCTGACCCAAAACCACAAGCATGATAGATGTGAATATACAACTATTTGGGTAGAAACAGATTGCAACTCAACCTGGCCAAGACCGAGTGGCTGTGGGTACCGGCATCTCGGTTCAGGGGAGAGGTACCATCGCTGACTATAGGGGGTGAAGTGTTGCCCCCTGTAGACAGGGTGCGCAACTTGGGCGTCCTTCTGGATTCACGGTTGAGCTTAGAAGACCAGATAACGACCGTGACCAGGGGGGCATTTGCCCAGATACGTCTGGTGCGCCAGTTGCGTCCCTACTCGGACCGAGATGCCCTACGCACAGTTACTCATGCGCTGGTCACCTCACGGATTGACTACTACAATGCTCTCTACATGGGGCTGCCCTTGAGGACCACTCGGAGGCTTCAGCTGGTGCAGAATGCAGCCGCGCGGGTTGTGATGGGAGAATCCCGATACTCCCATGTTACACCCCTCCTGCGCGGTTTGCATTGGCTACCGGTTGCCCTCCAGGTGAGATTCAAGGTGCTGGTGATGACCTATAAAGCCCAACATGGCTTAGGACCAGGATATTTGGCGGACCACTTACAGCCAGCAACGATATCCCATCGCCCGGTTCGCGCCCATAGAGAGGGCCTACTCAGGGTGCCGTCGGCTAGACAGTGGCGGCTGGCGGCCCCCAGGGGTAGAGCCTTCTCGGTGGGTGCGCCCACCCTCTGGAATCAACTCCCCTTGGAGCTCCGATTAGCTCCTGACCTTCGCACCTTCCGCCGGGAATTAAAAACTTGGCTTTTCAAATCCCTTGACCTGGACTGATGATGGGGTTTTAATTGGTTTTAAGGGTTAATTTTAAATTTTTTTAGATTTTGGTCTTTATTTTATATTGTGGCTTGTGTTTTATTGTTGTGAGCCACCCTGAGTCCATTGTGAGATAGGGCGGCATATAAGCCGAATAAAATAAATAAATAAAAATAAAATATTTTTTTTTAAACAGCTAAACGTTCAAAGTCCTCCTTGGGTTTTTTTTTTCCTTCTGCAAACATTTTTTTTTTTTTAAATCTCAGATTGTTTTTAATCTCATGTCTCAACATAGCTGTGGTAGGTCCTTATGCAAACGAAATATAACACGCACACCCATTCTTAATCTTCGCATGATAGCAGTGCTAGCTGCCAAGGTAGTTGCCCAACCACTTAATGCTTTCAAGAGCAGAAGAAAATGACTCAAAACATCCCCATGGAATCGCCAGGATTTGCACTCAACTCAAGGAAGACCCAAGGTTTACCAGAGCATCAAAGGCACAAGCAGGTTCTGACCAGTTCTGGAGAACCGGTAGCGGAAATTTTGAGTAGTTTGGAGAACCGGTAGTAAAAATTTTGACTAGCCCCACCTCCATCTATTCTCTGCCTCCCGAGTCCCAGCTGATCGGGAAGGAATGGGGATTTTGTAGTAACCTTCCCCTGCCACACCCACCAAGCCATGCCACGCCCACAAAGCCACACCCACAGAACCGGCAGTAAAAAATTATGAAACCCACCACTGGGCACAAGCCTTATTTCCAAATAGACTTAACTCCTATGGAAATCCAATCCTAAAATAATGTGTACTGTAATCGTTAATTACTTTTATTGGTGCAGACTTTTGAATTGCAGGGTTAATTACCTAATGTTTGACCCAGGGATGAAATTCAAAATTTTTCCCTACCGGTTCTGTGGGCGTGGCTTGGTGGGCGTGCCAGGGGAAGGATACTGCAAAATCTCCATTCCCATTCCACTGTGTGCTGTTTTTCCGAACTACTCAAAATTTCCGCTACCGGTTCTCCAGAACCTGTTAGAACCTGCTGGATTTCACCCATGGTTTGACCTCCATTTTCTAAAGTCTTTCTACCTTTCTGCATTGGAGACAAATTCCTTTGTGAATCTAATTACACTTGGTCAAATAAATTATTTTCTGTTCTGTTCTAATTCTAATTCTATTCTTCATTCCAATACTCTACTCTACTCTACTCTACTCTACTCTACTCTACTCTACTCTACTCTACTCTACTCTTCATTCCAGTACTCTATTCTTCATATTCTTCATTCTAATACTCTACTCTTCATTCTAATACTCTACTCTACTACTCTTCATTCTAATACTCTAGTCCACTCTACTCTACTCTACTCTACTCTACTCTACTCTACTCTCTCTCTCACACACACACACACACATATAGGCAGTCCTGGACACATGACCACAATGGAGCCCCAAATTTCTGTTGTTAAGTGAGACATTCGTTAAGCGAGTTTTGCCCCGTTTTGCGACCTTTCTTGCTGCAGTTGTTAAGTGGATCACTGCACTTGATAAGTTAGTAACACAGTTGTTAAGCGAATCCGGCTTCCCCATTGACTTTGCTTGTCAGAAGGTCGCAAAAGGGGAATTGCAACCGTCATAAGTACATGCCGGTTGCCAAGCCTTTGAATTTTGATCACGTGACCGTGTGTGTGTGTGGGGGGGTGTTGCTGCAAAGGTTTTAAGTCTGAAACGCAGTCGTCGGTCCCTTTTTTCCCAGGGCCGTTCGTCACTTTGAACGGTCGCTGAGCGAAGTTGTTGTAAGTCAAGGACCGGCTGTAGCAATGTCCTACCTCACTCGGCTTGGGTTTTAATCACGCTGTGGTTTAATGGATCTCCGATCCATCTCAGCACTTCCTGCTTCACTCTTTTAGCTCAACCTTACGCATCAGAAGTTAGAGGGAGGGGAACTAAAAGCTCTCCCCTGCCCCCCGTTCCCCCCATAGCGCATATGGGTGCATTTCTGTTTCTCAAGCTGTTGTAGCTCACGGCTCCCTTTGCATGTTTCGTTTGCCATGACGTCGTCCGTGTTTCCTTCCTGCTGCTTACAAGCCCGTTTTAGAGATAAGAAGGCGCTGATGTGTGTGTATGTGTGTTTTGGTATAACTGGGGCAGGCGGGGTGGTGGTAGTGGGGAGGAGGAAATATGCCTCCATATCTGCTCGGTTACAAAGAGGGTCCGAGACTTCTTTTTGTTTTGTTTTTTTTAAACAATCTCAAAGATTGTGAGGTCGTAATGTTTTTTTTGTTTTTTTTAGAAGGGTAGCCAAGAGAGATGTTGGATTGACATTGTAAATTGGATCTGCTGGCATTGGGTGTGTGTATGGTAGTCCTTTGGTCTGTTTTCAGACTGCATTGTTAGCGTTTAACTTTCTTCAGGGTAGTTGTTTGTCTGTGTGTTGTGTGTACCTGTGTGTGTGTATGTGAGAGAGAGATAGAAAGACAGAGAAAGAGGGAGAGAGAAAGAGGGAGAGAGAGAAAGAGGAGGAGAGAGAGAAGGAGAGAGAAGGAGAAAAAGGGGGAGAGAGAAGAATGAAAGAAGGGAAAGAAAAAGGAAGAGAGAAAGAGAGAGAGAAGGAAAGAGAAAGGGAGAGAAGGAGAAAGGGAGGGAGAGAGAGAAGAATGAAAGAGAAAAGAAGAGAAGAAGAAAGAAAGAGGGAGAGAGAGAAAGAGAGGAGAGAAAGGAAGGAGAGAAAGAGAGAAGGAGAGAGAGAAAGAGAGAGAAGGAGAAAGAAATAGGGAGAGAGAGAGAGAGGAGAAAGAAAGAAGGAGAAAGAAAGAGAAGGAGAGAGAGAAAGAGAAATGGCAAAAGACACATGCTTCACATTTTGTAAGATTTACCCATTATTCTTATCTGTTCTTAAGAAACTCTGACAAAGTCTTATCAAAGCAAAGCACAACCTAATTCCTATCTGCGCCGTTTGTATTTTTGTTTGATTATTCATACTGACTTAATCTTCCTGTTCTTGTTTTTTTTTTAGGGGCTTTTCAAGAAACCGTGTTAAAACGTCACTTCAGAAGGAATAAGAATTTCTCCCTGGCTTCCGAGTCACTTCGACGTCTCCTGCCCCATACAAACTCATCCCTGGCGATAGGAAATTTCCTTTCTTGATGCTGAAGAAGCATTTTTAATTCCATGCTGAATTGAGACCTTGGAATGCTTTAGCATGGCAGCGCTGGTGCAGCAAAATGACTTGATGTTTGAATTTGCTAGCAATGTCATGGAGGATGAACAACAGGTAAGAAATATCTAAAAAAAAAAAGATGATCGCTCATTTACGTTATCATTAAATTTTACTGATGAAATGGTCTGAAATGGTATAGAGTTTCTTGCCTAAGCAGGGGGTTAGACTAGACGATCTCCAAAGTCCCTTCCAATTCTGTTATCCTATCCTATCCTATCCTATCCTATCCTATCCTATCCTATCCTACCCTACCCTACCCTACCCTACCCTACCCTACCCTCTTATGCACATTTCAATCAATCAATCAGAACAGAGCTGGAAGGGACCGTGGAGGTCTTCTAGTCCAACCCCCTGCTCAAGCCAGAGACCCTATACCATTTGAGACAAGTGACTGTCCAGTATCTGCTTAAAAACCTCCAGTTATAGAGCATCCCCAACTTCTGAAGGCAGCTTCTGTTCCACTGGTTAATTGTCTTCACTGTTAGGAAGTTCCTCCTTAATTCCAGGTTGCTTCTCAGCTTGATTAGTTTCTATCCATTGTTCCTTGTCTTACCTTCTGATGCTTTGGAGAATAGTTTGACTCCCTCTTCTTTGTGGCAGCCCCTCAAATACTGAAAGACTGCTACCATGTCTCCCCTAGTCCTTCTTTTCCTTTAAACTAGACATACTCAGTTCCTGCAACTGTTGTTTGTATGTTTTAGTCTCCAGGCCTTTTCCAGGCCTTATTCAGTCCTCCCTGACATGATAGTGAGCCATATATAGTGGTACCTCAATTCTCATCTTTAATTGGTTCCTGGAGGAGTGATGAGTATCAGAAACCATAAATACCAAACAATTTTTTCCCATAAGGAATAATATAGTGAGTCACAAGGCAGCCGACACCGACAAGTTCTGGCTTGAGTGCCAAACAAACGAGTATCAGGACAAAATTTTCACATCAAAATGCGTTGAGTACCAAATTCGATGAGTTTCAAAGTAGTTGAGTAGGAAGGTACCACCGCTGTAGTTGACAAGTCTTAACACTTTCTGGTACATGGGATTGGCTGATATTTTTTTTCCTTAGCTTGAGCTGTGGACAATTTCAATATTGTGTTTCTTCTGTATTGTTTACAAACGTTGTGACGACGTTACAACCGATGTTTGTAGGCGATACAGATCGTTCAAATGGGCACAGAGAGAGCCATGAAGTGCCGTGGGGGCGCAGTGGTGGGAAGGCAGTATTGCAGGCTACCTCTGCCGATTGCCAGGAGTTGGATTCTGACCGGTTCAAGGTTGACTCAGCCTTCCATTCTTCCGAGTTCGGTAAAATGGGGACCAAGATTGTTGGGGGCAAGAGGCTGACATTTGTAAACCATGTAGAGAGGGCTGTAAAGCACCGTAAAGCGGTATATAAGTCTAAGTGCTATTGCTATGAAAACCATTCTCACTGCCAGGAGTTTGATCCTGACCAGCTCAAGGTTTACTCAGTTTTCCATCCTTACCGAGGTCGGTAAAATGATGACCCAGATTGTTGGGGTCAAACCTGCTTAGAGAGGGCTGTAAAAACACTGTGAAGTGGTATATAAGTTTTAAGTGCTAATGCTGTAGCTATTGTCCCTTCCTTCCTTCCTTCCTTCCTTCCTTCCTTCCTTCCTTCCTTCCTTCCTTCCTTCCCTCTCTCCCTCCCTCCCTCCCTCCCTCCCATGGTGCACAGTGGTTAGTATATAGTAGTGCAGGCTAACTCTGCCGACTGCCACCAGTTCGATTCTCACCTGCTCAAGGCTGACTCAGTCTTCCATCCTTCTGATGTTGGTCAAATGAGGATCCAGATTGTTGGGGGCAAGAGGCTGACTCTGTAAACCGCTTAGAGCGGGCTGTAAAAACACTGTGAAGTGGTATTTAAGTCTAAGTGCTATTGCTATTGCTATAACTCAGCAACCTGGTGCATGGATGCAAACTTCTAGGGATATAGATGAAAGCCTCTCCTATACGTGTACTATGTATAGTATCTGTCCTGTTCCATGTGTGTCTCTTTGTATTTTTCTCCCATCTCTTCTCTGTATAGGGCAGGGGTGGGGAACTGAGGCAGCATGGATGGCTCAGGAATTCTGGGAGTTGAAGTCCACAAGTCATAAAGGGGCCATGGTGGTATAGGATGACCACCATAAGTGTTAGTGAATATCTATATGATGGAGAATGGACACAGTTTCCCATCTACAGGTAGTCCCCAACTTACGACCATTAGTTTTTTTTTGTTTTTGTTTTTGTTTTTTAATTTGATTTATATGCCGCCCTTCTCCGGAGACTCAGGGCGGCTTACAGTGCATTCAGCAATAGCCTTCATACTTTTGTATATTTATACAAAGTCAGCTTATTGCCCCCACAAACTGGGTCCTCATTTAACCTACCTTAGAAAGGATGGAAGGCTGAGTCAATCTTGAGCCTTGGAGAGATTCGAACCAGCAGTAAATTGCAGGCAGCTGTGTTAATAACAGGGTGCTTTAAACCACTGTAGTACCAAGTTGAGCCCCAAAATTACTGTTACTAAGCGAGATGCTTGTTAAATGAGCTTTGCCCCGTTTTTACGACTGTTCTTGCCATGGTGGATCACTGCAGCCGTTAAGTCGGTACAACCCGGTTCTTAAGCGAATCCGGCTTCCCTATTGACTTTGCTCGGAAGGTCGTGGAAGTGGGATCGTGTGACCCTGGGGGAGACTGCAACGGTCATAAGTCCATGCCAGTTGCTGAGCGTCTGAATTTTGATCACGTCTCACACACACACACACACACACACACACACACACACACACACACGGCATCATAAGCATGAAAATCTGCCGTAAGTCCCTTTTTTCAGTGCCATTATAACTTTGAACAGTCCCTAAACTGTTGTAAGTCGAGAACTATCTGTACTTATTTTAAATCCGGGGGTCAGTTAAGGTGTGTGGGAATCGGCATGAGAACTGCCTGCGCTGAAAAGTGAATTAATATAAGTTAGTAATGTTGTTGTTGTTAGTTGCGAAGTCGTGTCCGACCCATCGCGACCCCATGGACAACGTTCCTCCAGGCCTTCCTGTCCTCTACCATCCTCTGGAGTCCATTTAAGCTCAGGCCGACTATTTTAGTGACTCCATCCAGCCACCTCGTTCTCTGCCGCCCCCTTCTTCTTTTGCCCTCCATCGTTCCCAGCATTAGGCTCTTCTCCAGGGAGTCCTTCCTTCTCATCAGGTGGCCAAAGTATTTGAGTTTCCTCTTCAGGATCTGGACTTCTAGAGAGCAGTCAGGGTTGATCTCCTCTAGGACTGACCGGTTGGATCGCCTTGCAGTCCAAGGGACTCACAGGAGTCTTCCCCAGCACCAGAGTTCAAAGGCCTCCATTCTTTGGCCCTCAGCCTTCCTTATGGTCCAACTTTCACAGCCATCCATTGCAACTGGGAAAACCAGAGCCTGTAATATTAGCATTAAATTATCTGTGTTCAGGGTTGGTCCTCCACCTAGTTTTCAAACAACTTTGTGCAGCTCTATCTATCTTGGCATATGGCCTTCTAGCGCGGCCTTCACTTCAACACAACGCTGAAACGGGCCGATAGCCTGTTCAAGATTTCAGAATTTAAATGGGATTCTTAGCACCCGCAGTGTCTAATTTTTTTTTTCTTCTTTTTATCTGTCTCCTGCACGCTTTCTGATCATACCAAACAGGTTTCGGCTTTTGGCCTTTATGGTGCCTTTTAAAAAAAATGACTTAAGACATCATTTTGCACAGCAGAGGAAGAGGCCTATATAACTCTCCCTGGTGATGGTGTTTACTTCTTTCCAGATTATTAAGTTTATATTGCAAGAAATATATTTGGGCTCATTTGTTGGGAGAGCCAGGTGTTTGTTGCTCAAGGATGTAATTTAGGTTAGGAAGCTAGCCTGGGTTCCAGTTAATTGAGATCAGACACATAGGATTACTCGAAAAAATATGTAATTTTTTGGGGGGGAAACAGGAGCTATTAAATTTTGCAGAGCTACCCGAAGCGTGCTACATCAAATTTATTGGCAATTATTAGATATCGGCCCTTCCCCCATATATAATACAGATTTCGCTCCCCGCCCACGGATTTATGCTGTGGGGAGCCAGAATTCAAATTATAGGAAGAAATACATAGGCACATAAGCTGAAATTGAATAGTTCGAAAGAGGAAGTGTGTATACTGTGCTAGCTTTTGTAATTTGTTAACTGTTGCAAGTGATTTACAGGAGGTCCTTCACTGTTTAGTGACCGTCCAAAGTTACAACGGCACTGAAAAATGTGGCTTATGACCTGTTTTTCACACTTTTTTAAAAAAAAATTTGATTTATATGCCGCCCTTCTCCGGACACTCAGGGCGGCTTACAATGCGCTTACGACCGTTGCAACATCCTTGGGGGGTCACATGATCCAAAATTCCGACGTTTGACTCATATTTATGACGGTTGCCAGTGTCCCGGAGTCGTGCAATCCCCTTTAGCGACCTTCTGACAAGCCAAATCGATGGGGAAGCCAGGTTCTTTTAACAGCCAGTCTTACTCTCTGAACAACCGCACCGATTCGCTTAACAACGGTGGCAAGAAAAGTGGTAAAACGGGGCAAAACCTCACTGAACTGCTGTCTTGCTTAGCCACGGACATTTGGGGCTCAATTCTGGCCGTTAGACAAGGACCTAGACAGTCTAGAGACAGACCCTTATCTGAAATGGTATAGGTTCTCCTGCTTGAGCAGGGGGTTGGACTAGAAGACCTCCAGGGTCCCTTGCATCTCCTTCTCTTCTCTTCTCTTCTCTTCTCTTCTCTTCTCTTCTCTTCTCTTCATTCCCTACTCTATTCTTTATTCTATTCTATTTCTATTTCTATTCTATTTCTTATTCTCTTCTCTTCTCTTCTACTCTACTCTACTCTACTCTACTCTACTCTACTCTACTCTACTCTACTCTACTCTACTCTACTCTACTCTACTCTACATAGTTCGCCTGTAGCTGCTTTTTTCCAAGAGTTGCAAATTCCAGACTTGTCTTTGCAGATTGTTGCTGGCCTTGCTCAAGGGTGCTACCCAG